GATTCAGTGACCCTGGGGTCTAAATCCATATCGACGATCCCTTCTCTATAGGCGTCTATCATGTTGACGTCTCCCACTTGTTCAGGGGTAGGACCTTCTTTAGGTGCGTCAACCATTTCAGCGTTCATCAGGACCATATTTACATTGTGGGGCTCGTATTTTCTTAAGGAGCTAAGGTAGCAATTCCTCTTTCGGTAGAATGTTTCATGCATAGATGATGTATGAATGTAACGGCCTCAAGTTCTATTCAGGCGGGTTGTCCCAATACTCAGTGATAAATAGATCAGTGGTCTACAATGAGGAACTCCATGAAGTGATGAGCCGTAAGTGGGGGCTCTCCCGTTTCTACTACCAATGTGATCCTCCCCCTGTGAACAATGTTGTCACCAATAAAACCATATAAGGGGGCGGTGATGGGAGTGAGTTCATGGTCTACTATCATTTTGTCAAAGGTGGTTCCAAACAGAATATTAACGGAACTCCCATTGTCCACCAACATGCGCGTCAACCCATTCCTGGCTACGACGGCTCACACCACCAGTGCGTCGCAGTGGTGGTAATGAACCCCCACGGTGTCCCATGAGAAAAATTTATTAGTGGGGCATTCCCGAATCCGCGGCCAATGCTATTGATCAAGTAGCTCATCATGGGAGGGTCTTTTGCTTCCCTTGCGTAATTCCTCTGAGCGTTTCTGGACTCTTCCCCTATGTCTGGACTACCTATGATGGTGTCAATTTCTCTGATGGGGACATTATCAGCATTAGCTAGGGGCTCTCTCCTGGGCCTCTGCCCTCCTCTTGTCTTGTTTCCTTATTTCTCATGTTCCCGTTGAGATGATTCATTCCTGTGGCGTCACCTCACCTCATCATGTCTAGGTTCTCTCTCTCGCCTAGGCTAAGGTGCGTTCCTTTGCGTTTGATGAGCGCTTCTTCTCTCAATGCGGGGGCCTATTGGTTCTTCATTATATGGTCTTGACAAGCAGTTTTCAGTACTATGGCTGTTGGTTTGATGGTAGGTACAATATTACATGTCTCTAGGCTTCATTTTCCTCCATCTACCTCTTCCTCTAGATTGGTTCAATTGTCTCTGAGCCTCAGATCCGACCTCTTCATATACTAAAGATGGCACTGCATTCAGTGTGGCCGTGGCTAGGGCTTGGCCGAAGGTGGGGACGATTGTATGTCCCGCTTAGGTCCATTGCTGGTTTACCAAGTGTGATACATGACCTGGTTGCTATCTCTGAGGCGGTGGAAGTCCCATCGAGGTTCGATTGAGGTGATTAATAAGCTCTTAATTGACAATCTCACATCCCATCATCTCTACTAAGGCATCATAAGATGTAGGATTTTTGTTTCGCACATCTCTCCAAAATAGGGTGTTCATGTTGAGGCTTCCTCTTAGAGTAGAAAATGGCCTCTCTATCCGTAACCTGTTCGCAATAGGTCATGTCGTCTGTGAAGCGAGCCAAGTAGCTTTTCAAGGTTTCACATATCTGTTGCCTCATGTCCTACAGCCTTTGGATGGGCTTCTCCTTCTTTGGTAGACAAATATTGGTTTAAAAAGGTCTTTTTAAGGTCTGGTCAACTTCTGATGCTGCCAGCTGAGAGTACACATGTACCAAATTTCTGCAACTCAAGTAGTGTGAGAAGAAAATCTCTACATTTTAGTGCCGCGAGGGCCCTCGTAGAGACACATAGGTTTTGTAGTTATTGAGATGCTTCACCGAATCACATTTTCCTTTATATTTGGGTATCTTTGGAGGCACAAAGTAATTTAGAATTGGGGCGCTTCTCAACTCTTAGGAGAAAGGCAAGCTTTCGTCATCATCATTCAACTCAAATGATCTGCATGGACCATCAAAATCATTTTCCTCTGCTTGGTAACGAGGGGTCGTGACGTTTCTACTTGATTTCTCAAGTCCACCTCGTCTCTTCTCTCTCGCTTATTTCTAGGTGAGGAGGAGGAATCCCATAAGGTTCGTATTCTTGGTATTGTTCTTGCCCTATTTGAACATGGGGTGTCTGATGGACCTATTTCTAGGGCTTGAGGGTCCGATTCGATCAAAAACGCTGATAGACCCTTGAGGTTCACGCTCTTAAGCATATTATGGTGGAAAGTTTTCCTCTTGCGGCATGTTATGGCCGGGTCGGCTTGTAGCGTAGTTGGTGGAGGTGTTTACTTCCACCTCCCTCTCGGCTGGGCTGATATCCTTGCCATGCACTTGAGGGTACGTTGACGTGCCCTTCTCCTCACATTCTTAGGGAAATATTCCATGCTGAGGCGCCAAGTACCCTGCCGTTGGTGCATTTGCATGAGTAGTTGCTGTATGGCAGCATTCTGCTGGGCCAAGTGTCTCATAATCGCAACCATTTTCCCTACTTCCAGGCTAAGCGTGCCGTGGTACCACATGTTCACATTTGTGCGGATGACCTCTTCTTCAGAAGCCTCATGCTGCCTATTTATACTCTACGATCCGTGGTTGCTGGAACTCATAGCGAGTATTTGAATTTGAGCTAAAACTAGGCGCTTGAGGTGTTCTTTCTTTGCAGCGGTTCTTTCTTCAAGAACCAAGCCTTTCTTCAAGGTTCTGCTTCAGATGACTTTTACGACGAGGATGTTCGTGGTTATGGTGTCGAATTTTCCACAGACGATGCCAATCCGTTGACCCTAAAAAATGTACCAATGATGTAGCCAATAGATCCCAAGTCCTCTCACGTCCACGCAAACTGAATTCCTGCACACTTGGACAAATTGTTAGTTACACTTGGACAACTGTCCTCTTTTATCATGTACATCAATCAATTACAGCCTTAAATACTAAGACCACTTTTGTACTCCTAAAACCTAGCTTGAGCTTTTAGACTTGACCAAATAGGATGGCGGTGGCGACGGTAAAGGTGAGTTGTCTTATCAATCATGTAGCACAAGATCCGCTCAAGATCTTGTTACTGTCTCATTCCATACCGAGTCTTCCATTGGGGTTTGTGCGTAACGGGTTCGACCCAGTTCATTCTATACGTGGAGAAGAGGGTCGCCTATACTTGGGGCGGATCGTCAGTGCGTAATGGAACCGTCCCATGCTTGCGTGTAATACGTGGAACCCCCAAACTACTTGCCACGTAGGTCAGTTGGGGCCACATATGGGTCCATGTTTGGCGAGGCGTAACAAGATTCATTATTTTTTTTTATCAAGATCAAATTTTTAACTCTTCCAAATAAACATTTAGATTATTTAAGTCCATTTTTAAAAAATATATATATTTTAAGCTCAACGAAATATACACATGGTTGGAAATGAAAGTCAAAAGGTCATATTACAATTTACAACAAAAAAAATTACATTTAGCCGATGTGTGATGGAGCTTTCTTGAATAATCACTTATTTTTTTGTTTGTGGGCGGATTCTGACTTTTATCAACTTTTCTCCTTTTGTATTTGACAAAATATCAAAGAAAGACCAAGATTGTTCTGCTTTGAATCTTTTTGAGAAATCACGCTAAAGGCAAGTTCATCTTCTCACCAAGGATGACAATGGCCTAGGCCAATTGGCAAATAATTTAGGTTAATTATATTCGCACCACAATTTTTATTTCTTACACCACATTTTACTTGCACTTAACATTCTTAATCTTTACTCATTATAGTACATATGTCCTTAATATTTTTTCATGTCATTTTTATCCTTAAACTTTTCATTAGTTAACACTTTTCGTATTTAATAATAGTTTTATATTTAAAATTTTGCTGAATTGGTGTAAAACAACTTATTTTTTCATCATAATTTAAAAAATTTGAAATTTTAGTAACGTTAGCGTGAAATGCCAATTAGCTTCTAGGAAACATTACTGCTGGTGTATCACTGTTTTTATTAAATCAAACCGACAATATCAAATTTAAGAGGATAAATCATTTTTTGTCTTAACTCATAGTAAATGTGGCCTCGGGGCTAACCGTACTTAGTGTGTCTCGAACGGAACAAAATGGTTGGTACGAGCATCATATAATAAATGAATCTTTTGAGCCAAACTTAACCAATCTTGATTGCTTGTTTCGGATATTTTCTTTTCAACTAGCTTTATGAAACTTATCTTTACTGCGTGATGACCCAAACTTAACAAATCTTGATTGATAATTCTCGTGTTTTCTAAGTGTCAACGGTGTCTTGGTTACGGATCTATGTGAGAATGATTTTGTGCTGGTTATAACATATGAATATTGCTGCCAATTATTTTATGCATTTGGCTTAGGTATTGACGCTTACAATGATTGGGGACACCGAGAAACTGACATAAGAATCTTTATGGCCTTCTAATGCATGAGTGTATATGGCATTTCTTTGCTTCGAAGAATCATGACAAAAATTCACTGTAAAGATTTGAAATTTTAGTAATGTTCGCGTGAAAAGTTTTGCTATAGGAATGTTTTGAGGTGAAATATGGAATCTCTTGGAATCGTTAGGAAGATAGCTTCAACATCACCACTGTCTCCAAATTCTTCTTGATAGAAAATTGAAAAGGAATAATCAAACTACATACTTTATTCAAATCCTTTTCATATAAAACCCTAGATCCATTTCCATATTGAAATCTAAAAAATGAACATAAACATAAAACATACATGAATCCATGATAATTAGATTGTTAGCCTGAGAGGATCACGATCTTCCAATTTGATTTGTGAACTTCACTTCAATCTTGATTTCTATGGATGGAGAAGTAGAAATCTTGAAGACCACACTCAAATG